CTTGCGTGAAGCAGTATTACCAGGGCCCTGACAAACGGCCTGGGTATGATAAGAATCAGTGGCGACAAGCCATCGCTCTGGTGGCGGAGGTTGTCACTCGGGGTCCTGCTTGGTGACTTCATCACCCGCCATGTGCTTTCCACGGGTTCAGGCTTGGAACTCTGGGAATGGAGTGAGCCAAACGGAGTGGCCCAGTTCTCAGGTGGCCTTCTCTATGTCCCAAGATTGTCCTCCTGAAGACAGGTGATGATTAACCCCCTGACCTGCAGGGTTTGCCAGTGAGTCCCACCCCCCTCCCCTGGTACAGACACTGGGATAAGGGATTTCTTTCTTGCTTTCATAAATCATTTCACTGGGGGCTCTTACAGCGCTTAACACAATCCATGCATCAATTGTATCAAGCACATTTGTACATATGGTGCCACCATCCTTTTCAAAACATTTTCTTCTACTTTCTTTTGGTATTTTTGGTATCAACTTCTCTTTTTCCCCTCCTCCTACCACCCTTGTGAATACTTGGTAAAATATACATTATTATTATTTTCATATCTTTCACTGTCCACTGTCTCCCTTCACCCATGTCTCTGCTGCTCAGGCAGGTGGGGATGGCAGTTAAATGTCCATCATTGTAATCGGTTTCCCTTTTCTCCCTCTTCTTCTCCCACCTTCATGGTATTGCTATTCCCATGATTGGTCCTGGGGTTTATCTGTCCTGGATTCTGTGTGTCAAGAGCTCTTATCTGTACCAGTGTACACACTCTGGTCTAGCCAGATTTGTAAGGTAGAACTGGGTCATGATAGTTGGGTCAGGAATGTGTGTGCTTCGTCAGTGCTATACTGCTACCTGGCTGACTGGTCCCTTCCTTGTGACCCTTCTGTGAGGGGATGTCCAATTGCCTATAGATAGGCATTGGATCTCCACTCTGACATGCCTCTTTCAAATTGATATGATTGTTTGTTTTGGGTCTTCTGATGCCTGATATCTGATACCCGATCCTGTGGCCACCTCGTGATCACACAGGCTGGTATGCTTCTTCCATGTGGGCTTTGTTGCTTCCTTGATAGAAGGCTGCTTGTTTAACTTCAACCCTTTAACACCCTAGATGCTATATCTTCTAATAGCCGGGTACCATCAGCTTTCTTCACCACGTTTGCTTATATTCCCATTTTGACTTCTGCACCCATTTTATCTTCAGCAGTTGTGTTGGGAAGGTGAGCATCACAGAGTGCCAGGTTATTAGAACAAAGTGTTCTTACATTGAGGGAGAACTTGAGTAGAGGC